CCGACCCGGAGCCCCCAGGCTCTGCTTTCTCAATGGAAGACGTGTTGGTGGGATTAAGGAGGTCTTCGAAGTACTCCGCCCACCAACATAAAACATACCGAGTCAAGGTCAGCAGCACACCACCCCCACCATCGGAGCCAACTCACCACCAGGTAGTGGTCGGTTGAGAGCTCCGCCCCTCTCTTCACCCAAGTATCCAAGACATGCGGCCGCAGGTCAGATGAAGCAACAACGAAGTCGATCATTGAACTATGGCCTAGTGTGTCCTGGTGCCAAGAGCACTTATGGACACCCTTATGCTAGAACATGGTGTTCGTTATGGACGAGCACAGACGTCCAACAACAGAACACCACTCCAGTTCAGGTCAGGTGGGCCATTCCTTCCAACCACGCCTCACCAGGTCTCACTGTCGGTCTCCTTGAGAGGGGCTGGACATTCTTGCCCCTGGTGGAGTCCTTAAGGGGGGCACTCTCCAGAACCCCCCTAAAGACTCCAAAAAGAGGGGGTAATCTGAACTGCTGTTTGGCGCATAATCACAAACAACAGTCAGAACCCCCACCCCTAACCAACCAAACCCTCCACCAGGATAACGTGGCAGCCCAGGGAGTGATCTAGGCCATCATTTCTGATGTATTTATTAGCTGTGAGGTTTTTAATTCTCCATTCTGATAAATGTTCATCACATTTTACTCTGAGGGATGTTCTTGCTTTCTTTTCTTTTCTTAACACCCACCTAATTTCAAGTGATCCCTATTCTACATACCCAAATGGAAAAGCAAATAACCGAGACACTGTAAGCCCAAATTACATGCGTGATGCATCAATTGAAAGCTAACACCTTCAGGTTTCTGAAAATATTTAATAATAGTGTGAGTATAACACAGCCTAAACTGCATCAGTTCAAACATGACTCAAAGTTGATGTTTTTTTTCTTCTTGAAAATAATAGGTCTTAACACCAGTAATAAGGCCATGCTTGAGAATAGAATAGTAATATAGAGTATTACATTATGTATTACATCACATTTGTCCAACATCATGTCAGCCACAAACACAGACAATTTCTGACCTTTAGCTTTAACAGTTCCAGAGCTGTGGAGTTTTTAACTTTTTGAGTCATCATCTCCAAACCTCTCCAAATGTGGCAAATGTTTTCTCTATGCTGTGCTTTACTATTTGACCCATAGAATAACACTGAAGCATTTTGATGGCCACAACACATTAATGAGGCAAGCATTTTCCCATTTTTTTTCACTTTCATCTGATGATTGACTGTTGAGGTCACCACCCATTTCAACTGACCGTATGGTTTCTTGATTCAGATACATTTTAGGACATAAAATGAAAAAAATGACAAACTTTGAACTAAATGAAAGGTAAACTATTTAGTAGCTATGACCAGCTAACTTTTCTGATGTAGAAAAACAGGATATTATGTGGTGATTTTTCTCACTGTGGAATATTTTTATCACTAATATGCTGGATTACTTTTAATCTGTCGACCCTTATGGATGAATGGAGTATAAACAATTGAAGATTGGATTTATAAAACGGCTTCTGGACGCCTTCAAAGGGATGTTGTCATGGCTCCTTGTCATGTTTACATTTTGACATGCTGCTATATCTGAGTTAATTGTGCTTTGGAGCTCGCTGTGTCCATAAAATGATCTTGGTGGGGGAATTGTGGAGAATCTAAGCTAATGATGTCCAACATGTCTATAGTGGTAAAACCTTTAGCGGTGGAATGTTCATGTTTTCTGTGTTGTTAGTTGTAAACACTTTAATAACGGTGACCAGATACCAGGTGGATGTTGACAGGTTAAAGGGATATAAAGTATCAGTGGAATCTGTGACGTGTCCATTTAGTGAGAATTAGTGAAATAATTAGACACACAAATAATATTAAACTCTTCTATTACTGTAACTATAATCTCATAATTATGACTTCCTGTTAAGCTTTTTGTTTTTCTTTTATGGTGAAATGGGTTTACAAAGAATTTATGTACAATGGAAATATAATAAAGAGGTTCTTTAATATATTTTTACTGTAGATAAATCCAACCATTTTGAAATAGGTTGCCTAGACTATCCCAAATTATTCAACCTTAATATTTTATATAACATAAAAGCTTTTGTCCTTCATGGAACTTTTCCGCCTTTATATTACTTTCATTTTCATTAGTTTTGAAACTTTGATACTTCTACATGAGCTAAAACTTTAACTTCTTCAAACATATACTTTAATCCTGGAATGTTTAGTTCTAATTGAATATGTTGATTAATAGTGATGGATCCAGTAACACTGATGGATCGGTGCTTGTGTGGAGCCCATAGATGCTGGTGAAGGTTGTCAGTCATCCAGGTTGCAGTCATTCCAAAAAAAACAAAATTAAAATGAATCCACTGGACTTTGTTTCCAAGTTTGAAGACGTTTGGCTTCCCATCCAGGAAGCTTTTTCACTTTTGGTTTTTAAGCACATTTAGAATTTAAAAAGCTTCCTTGAAGGGAAGCGAAACATCTTCAAACTTGGAAACAAAGTCCAGTGGATTAATTCTAATTTTCTTTTTTGGAGCCCATAGAGCCAAACACTGTATCAGTCCTAGTGTTTCCAGAAAGTCATGTGACCGATCCAGGAGCTGTTTCTAACTGACTGACTCACTAAACTGGGGTTAAGATCCTATCTGTCAACATGATGCATTTGCTAAAATAATGTCTCATCTTTAGCAGTTTGTCATTGAAATGATGCAACATTATAGAGCCTAAAAGGAATAGGAACGTTTCAGCCGTTTTTATTTTTATTGTGTGGTTGGTCATCCTTTTCCTCTCAGTTATAACTCAGCTTATCTGAATTAAAGTTAATTTCAAATAGACAGTTTATTTACTGTTTTTATTGTAATATGATTTAAAATTCCAGTCCATAAGCATCCTCATTCACATTTTCCCCTAAATTATCACCTTATGATAAATGTTTACTTTATTTATTGGCTTCATCTAAAAATATCAAAGATATTTTAAATTTAAACATAGATATGAAATAATACAATATAACCTCCAATAACTTCAATGTTATCATTGTTCTAGAATCTAGATCATCAAATTAATATAGTTTATTCTGTCCAATCAGCTGCCTGTAGTGTCTTTAAATGTCCAGCAGGTGTCAGTATTCAGTGAGACAGAATCAACGCAGCATCAATAGTTTGGCTTCATCACTACTGACACCTCTGTTCTTTAATTTAAGAAATAAGAAGCGATGTATAATCCTCTGTGATTAAACCTGAAATAAATAATCCTGTGTGAGAGAATAGATTTATTGTAGATTAAGTTGCCAGTTTATACAGGAAATTATTACTTTTCAGGGATAATCTCTAAATAAATCAGATGAAACTGTTCTTAGATCATTTCTTTGACGTCATCGGGGTGAGGACGGCTCGCCTGAGGATCCGAGCATCTCATTGGTCCGCTGCATCACGGTGAAGCCAGTCGACCAATCACAGAGCAGGATGTTGACACGCGGCAGGGCAGTTCACCACTCAACAGGAAGAAGCGGAGGTCCGGCCTGAGAAAAGGGAAATAACCCAAAACGAAGAGGTTCCGACTTCATCCGGACCTAAACAACCGGTACCGGAACCTACAGGAGATAACAGCTGGCAGAACCGGACCGGAGAGCTGGTTCCGGTACCGGTGATCGCTACAGGTGAGTTAGCATAGTTAGCATCTAGCAGAAGCCAGAACTGCTGACTGGGACAGTTGATCAGGATCAGAACCGCAGACAGGCTGAACCCTGCTGGGTCTGAAAGGTTCTGATGGAGGGACTGGTTTCCCCAACAGAACCCTGAAAATAAAACAGCTGTAAGACGGACAGATTTGACCGGGATCCAGGAAGAAATAGGTCCAGTTAGATCCACAGGCGGAACCAGCAGGTCCAGTTGGTTCTGATGAGAAAGAAAAGTCTTGATTTAGAGGAGAGAATGAGGGCGTGGCCTCCAGATCGCTTCCGCTGACCATTCAAGGCCACTTCCGGTCCGGTTCCAGGGAGGCTCTCAGAAGAATGGTGGTGGATGAAACAACATGGCAGATGATGAGGATGAGGATGATGAGGAAGGCTGGACAGCAGGTTGAAATGGGAGAGAGAGGCAGGGGCGGATTTAGGAAATATGGGGCCCAAGGCAAAGACAGGCAGGGGCCCTCTGAACAGATCTGTTATCCAGATAGAGAAATGTTAATAGAATAGACATCCATTATCTGTTCTAGGTTGTGTCCCTCTCTTCTTGTCCCTTTTCTTCTTGTTTTCCTCTCTATGTTTTGTACTCAGCTGACTTTTCATGCTGTCTCTAAAGGAATGAAAGATTTTTTCCAAGCACTAAGCTCACTTAGCTGATTGCTCCTTCCTGTGTTTCCAAAAAGGCCAAAGTAAATAACCCAGTCCTTCTTTTCACTGTAGACAAGCCATGATCTGCTTATCTGTTCTCCATTTTTCATTTGGATGAAATAATAGCTGCATGAATCATGACAGCAGACAAGATAGAGGAGAGCAGGAGGCGGGGTTACCAATCTACTCGCTCTGGAGAGCAGAGTTCGCTGCTTTTAGATGTTGTCTCCAAAGTCTCCAGTAGAAGGAAACAATAAAACAAACAGTATGATAAAATCCGCCCCTCTCATCCAGACACCGAGCCGCCTGCAGCTCTGAGACGGCCTGTTGTTCATCAAAGCAAACAATACCAGCTGACTATAGAGTCTGAGCTGAATTATCCCATCACACTGTCAAGGTTTTTAATCATTATTTTGCTATTCAATTAATCTGTCAATTAGTTTTTCAATTAATCGATTGATAAAAGATTTAAAGGAGATATTTTCTAGAATGAAACTAAAACTTTTCCACCTGAGGAGTTCTGGATAGAGCATATTGATGAACGGAAAGGCAATAAAATCTTAAAAGCTACATTTTTACACCTGTGGTTAAATAAAGCTAAAGGTTTATTGCTCTGTCAACTAAAAGCATGTTTTCGAGTCTCTATAAGGCAGTCAAGGATTAATCGATTACTGAAACAGTTGACCATAATGTCAATAGTGGATAAATCTAATTAATTATTTCAGGCCCAGTTTCCTTCTTCACTAAATACACAGACTTTCAATTTTGATTTCAGATTATGAAACAAAACATTAACTGGATCTGTGACTTAAAGCCTGCAGCTTCGACACTATTTGCACTATTAGTGAATATTAGTGTTTTTTTCTGATCCAGTCCGATACCTGGGCTGGGATGTCCAACCGGAACGAACCATATATCTGCCATGTGAGGGAAGCTTTAGCCTTCACATGAACCTTTTAAACAGAAAAAAGGTAAATGAACACAGATATAAACAAACTTTATATTATTTATAAAGTACAGGAAAACCTGTTAACCCTGCAGGACAGCGGCCCTGAAGGCCCCACCTTTGATAGTAGAAGTAGCATAAAGTAGTTTTTGCTCAGTAGCAGAGCTCAACACTTTAAATGTACATTTCTTTATTAGGTAGCTTAAAATCAAAATAGTTACACACTAAGTAGCGCTGCCTTGATTTTTGCTCCATGAAATGATCCAAATACTCTGAATATCCAGAAACCAGCTGATATTGACGTATAATGCGTGTAGAAAGGGGACATGAACTAAACCTTCAAAGCTCCGCTTCTCACCTCGCCTCAGTCAGCTGAGTTGATCTGAATGAAGCAGGTGTCAAACGTCATTGGTGACATCATGCAAAGGAAGCTCCGCCCACTGCCTCAGTGTCCAGTATGAAGCATGCTTTAAGGCCTCGGTGTTGGAAGCAGCATCACTACTGCTGAGGAGTCTGAATCATCTGAATCAGGCGACCTGCTGCAGAGAGGAGCGGCAGTCGATCTAATATTTCTCCCTGCCTGAACTTTCAGGAATGATGGAAACCTTTAGCTTGGATCAGAGATTCGCTTTCACGTCTTTTATGGCATCTAGAGACGTTAGCATCTTTCTCTGATGATCCTCGGCCTCAGAAAGCGCTTTATCATTTATATTCTGTTTCATTCTTGGTTTTTGTTGTTTGTTGGTGAACAAAGTTCTCTGTGTGTGTTTTCCATAACTAGAGGAAAGATCTCACACAGGCACAGCATGAGTTACAGCTGCCATGTTGATGGATGCTTTAACACCTACTGCCAGCAGATGGCAGCAGCGTACTACAGCGTTTAGTCTGCTGATAGCTGCCAGGGCAAACTTTATTATCAGGCTGGAAAAGGACAAAGGTTTGGAGCATATTGATTTGGACTGTTACATTTGATCATAGTTTCCCTTTTTTTATACCTGCACAGGATTTTATCTTCTGCCTGAGATTTTTTTCTCTCCCGCAGCTCAGTTTAACTTGAAATGTTTATTTGATAGGGGGAGACACTGAACAGAGCAGCAGGCCCATGTTTGCAGTAGCATCAGATAGTTCGCAGTAGCATCAGATAGTTCGCAGTAGCATCAGATAGTTCGCAGTAGCATCAGATAGTTCACAGTAGCATCAGATAGTTCGCAGTAGCATCAGATAGTTCGCAGTAGCATCAGATAGTTCGCAGTAGCATCAGATAGTTCGCAGTAGCATCAGATAGTTCGCAGCACTGGAACCTAGATGGACTTTTAAAAAGTACCTCTAAAAATGAAAGTAATAGTCATTTAAAATAGCACAACATAATATTGACAACATTTAAACAAACAGTGAAACATAAAAACATCAAAAATGGTCCAGTTCTGTTTTTGACACAATCAGAGTTTTGTTTGTTTAAATGTTGTTTTTTTCTCATAGTTTTCATAGATTTTTCTGCCTCTTTGTTTTTTACCCTTCAGACAGAAATGTTTCCCAAATCTGCGACAATAAAATGTTCTGTTTTATAGTTTCTCTGGTACCAGTGCAGAGTTTCTAGAAAACACAAGAGCCCAGTAACACTGAACCAGCAGTACCACTTCTGAACCAGTGGTCCCATCTGTTTATCAGCGGTACCGTCTATTAACCATTGGTACCGTCTATGAACCATTGGTACCGTCTATTAACCATTGGTACCGTCTATGAACCATTAGTACCGTCTATGAACCAGCGGTACCGTCTATGATCCAGCGGTACTGTCTATGATCCAGCGGTACTGTCTATGATCCAGCGGTACTGTCTGTGAACCATTGGTGCTGTCTATGATCCAGCAGTACTGTCTATGATCCAGCGGTACTATCTATGATCCAGCAGTACTGTCTATGATCCAGCGGTACTGTCTGTGAACCATTGGTGCTGTCTATGATCCAGCAGTACTGTCTATGAACCAGCGGT